TGAGAAAAATGATAAACTTCTAAAGGCTGTAAAATTGAATGAGGAAGCATTAGCAAAAATCAATATTTCAGTAGAGTGGACAGCTTAGCGTTTTGACCACTGAGAATGCTCAATTCTGAACTGCAGGATGTAAGACACAGCTAGGAAACACTGGAAATGGAAATCCTATCATGTCGTTTTAGACTGACTGCTGCTCTACCTGACTGTGATCAAAGTCAGATAGATGAAAGAGACTTCTTTCCAGAGAACAAACATGAACAAGTTTATTTACAGGAGAAAATGAATTCTCATATATCTAACCTGAAAGATAACAGTGAGATTCTTTCTGAACAACTATAATGCTGACAGTAAAATTAACAGCCTAAACATTAAGCTGTATCACAGAGGATAAATTCTGAGAGACAAGATGGGGCAAGCCCCCATCTTTCCTGTTCAGGCAACTTAGTCATTCTAGTGTGTGGGCTTTGGAGACTACAAACCCACCAGGTGCAGAAGAGATCCTGCGGCACGGCACAGCTGCTTTACCAAATCATGGCCAGACTGCTTCTGTAAGCAGGCTCCTGATCCTGTTCCCCCTCACTGGACAGGACCTCCCACCTAAGGCCTCCAGCTACCCCCACTAGTGTTCCCTGGCCAACAGAGATTTGAAACCTTCCTGGGACAAAGTTCCCAGAGAGAGGGGAGGGCCACCACCTTTGATGTTTGGACACCACCTAGCTGTTCTGGCCCATGGGCTTTGGATAGCCCACGTTGACCAGGGGCTGAAGTGGTGTCTCAGTGCAGCACAGCCACCCTGCAAAAGCATGGCCAGACTCTTGTTTAAGTCAGTCCCCGAACACATTTCTAATCACTGGGTGGAGCCTTTCAACCAAGGTCTCCAGCCACCTTCACTGCTGTTCTCTGGCTGACAGAGGTTTCAGGCCTCCCTGAGTCAGAGCTCCAGGGGAAGGACCAGACTGTCATCTTTGCTGTTTGGACGACTTAGCCATTTGACCCTTCACGTTTCAGAGTGTCTGAGGTGACCAGGGGCTGAAGTGAACCCCCAGCACAGCATAGGCACTCTACAAAAATGTGACCAGGCTTCTTTTATAAGTAAGTCCCTGTTCCTGTTCCTCCTGACTAGGCAAGACTTCTCAACTTGCCTCCAGCCACATCCTACAGGTGTGTACAGATTGGCAACCGGTTCATACCTCCGAGGGTGCAGAGGTCCCAGAGGAAGGGGCAGGCTATCATCTTTGCCTTTTTGCAGACTTCACTGCTGATACTTTCAGGCACTGGAAAATAGGAGGCAATTGGGGACTGGAGTGGACCCCCAGCATACCACAGCAGCCCCACAGAAAAGTGGCCAGACTGTTAAGTGGGTGTCCATTTCCATATCTTATCTCCTCGATGGGCAGGCCCTCCTGACCTGGGTCTCCAGCCAGCCCCCCACTGGAACTATCAAGCCTGTAGCGACTTGGCAATTCCCTGGACTGAGCTTCCAGGAGCAACTGAAATCCTCTGTGCCACTGCCTCTGCAGTGGAACTGCCCTTGCTTCCCTCAGAATATCAAGGGAGCAAAGACCCTAAGTGCCATATCGACACCTCCAACAAGCTGCAGTTGACCGAAGGAACACACTAGTCCATCTCCCATGGGTACAACACACCCTCCACTGCTCATCACCAGACAGGGAACCCTGGCTTGGGCTCACAGCACACACCCTCCATCCTGGGGTGATTACATTAAGTAACTGCTAACTTACATCTCTCTGGGGTGGAGCCTCCAGGAGACAAGGAAAGTTGTAGAGCAACAAGTCAGCTGACATGCAGCCCACAGGGCAGGGACAGCTATCTCTCTAGGCTCCAGTTGCTCTTATGAGACACTTTATCCCAGCACTTAAGGAGTGCTGCGGTCAGACCAGCCCTGTCTCATGTGCAAGATTGCCCAGCACAGATCAGATCTAAGAGTTACTTTCTTTAAAAAGGGAAGTTGCTTAAAAAAGAAGTCTGGCCATGTTTGTGTAGAGCAGTTGTGCTGTGCTGGGGGTTCACTTTTGAGAGAGTTCTCCGAGACCTGATCTCTGCTGGGCAGTTTTGCACATCAGGTGAGGCTGGTCTGACCTCAGCACCCCTTAGTCAGCTTGCCACTCCCAGGACACCAGCCAGGCCACACCTGCTTACAGGACACTCTTGGGTGCACACACTATAGCTTCTGTACCAGTGGACTGTGCCTGATTAGTGGAGAGCTGCAGCAAGGTGGCCCCTACACCCACACACCAGCCTGCACATCACCTCTCCATACTGCAGCTCTTTATATGGAAACTTCTCACATCACTTTGCTGTGTGTGTTTACATAGGTGGGTTTTTCTGTACTTGCCCTGATAGCACATGGGAGTGCAGCACACACCCCAACCCACACCAACTGCCACTGAAGATGAAGCCGTGGTGGGCACAGAACCAAAAACCCCACCCCGCCAACATCTCACCCTTGAGGTAATGCTGTGCAGAGAAAAAGGGACCTTCTTATACCCTGAGTGACCACTGCTGCTTTGGGGGAGGTGGGGCTCAGAGAAGGCACCCAGACGTGCACTGGCCAGCAGTCCATCCCAAACCAGCACTGCCTCCAGTGCAACAGTACACATAGTCAGCAGGGGCCCCCTGGCCCACACCCCAGCTGTTGTGCCTCCACCACCTGCTGAACGCCCACAGTGAGCAGGGACTTCTGCATCTGCTACCATTTTGCCACAGCTGCCGCACTTGGATCCCCTCAGTGCAGTGGACTTCAAACCTCAAGGAGCCAGAGAACAAAGTTGGGGCCCAATACGAGTTTCCCAGAGTTAAAGCACACGGTCCAGGAATTGGGAGCTGCATGTTGGCCCCTAAAATCCTCTAAAAACAAAGTTAGTTGGCTGAGTCCGCCTTACACCACAGTCAAATCCTCAAGGTCATCAGATATAATAAAAGAAAAATACCCTGTCCCAAGGTCAGCAACCTCAATGATTGAAAAAGGATAAGCCCATAAAGATGAGAAAGGATCTGTGCAAGGACACTGAGAACTCAGAAAGTCTGCATGCCTCCTTTCCTCCAAATGACTGCATCAGCTCTCCAGCAAGTGTTCAGAACTGGGCTGAGGCTGAGATGTCTGAAATGATACAAGCAGGGTTCAGGATATGGGTAGGAACAAAGTTCACTGAGTGAAAGAAGTACGTTGTCCAATACAGGGAAGCTAAAAATCATTGTACAACACTGTAGGAGGTGACAGGCAAAATAGCCAGTATAAAGAAAAACATAACAGACCTGATAGAGCTGTAAACAACACTACAATAATTTTCATAATGCAGTCATATGGTGATTGTGTGTGATGGCATTATGAAAATTATTGTAGTGTGTGTGGGCACCCGAGACTGCTCTGTAAGCAGGTATGGCCAAGCTGGGGTCCTGGGAGAGGCAAACAGACTCAGGAGGTCTGAGGTCAGACCAACTCCATTTCATGTGCAAGACCACCCAGCGGAATAGACCAAGCAGAGGAAAGAATCCCAGAGTTTGAAAACTGGCTTTCTGAAATAAAACAGGCAGACAAGAATGGGGAAAAAAAGAATGAAAAGCAATGAACAAAACTTGCAAGAAATATGGGATGATATAGATGACCAAATCTGTGAGGAATTAATGTACCTGAAAGAGCTGAGGAGAATGGAACCAACTTGGAAAACATACTTCAGAATATCATTCATGAGAATATCCCCAACCTGACCAGACGGCCAACATTCAAATTCAGGAAATCCAGAGAACCTCAGTAAGATATGCCATGAGAAGATCATCCCCAAGACACACAGTCATCAGATTTTCCAAGGTCAAAATGAAAAAAAAAAAATACGTTAAAGGCAGCTGGAGAGAAAGGCAAGGTCACCTACAAAGGGAATTCCATCAGACTTAGCAGACCTCTCAGCTGAAACCTGACAAACCAGAAAAGGTGAAATTCAACTTCTTAAAGAAAAGAAATTTCAACCCAGAATTTCATGTCCAGTAAAATGAAGCATCATAAGTGAAGGAGAAATAAGATCCTTTTCAGACAAACAAATGCTGAGGGAATTCATTATCACCAGATCTATCTTACAAGAGCTCCTGAAGGAAGCACTAAATATGGAAAGAAAAGACCATCACCAGTCACTACAAAGATGCACTGAAGTAAACAGCCCAGTGATGCCAAAAACCAACCACATACACAAGTCTGCAAAATAACCAGCTGACAGCATGACGACAGGATCAAATCCACACATACCATGACTAACCTTAAATGGAAATGGGCTAAATGTTCCAATTGAAAGACACAGGGAGCAAACTGGATAAAGAACCAAGACCCATTTGAGTATGCCGTCTTCAAGAAACCCATCTCGCATGCACTGCCATACCTAGGCTCAAAATAAAGGAATGGAGAAAAATATTTCCAGCAAATGGAAAACAGAAAAAAGCAAGTGTTGCACTACTGGTTCCTGACAAAACAGACTATACCAATAAAGATAAAAAAAGACAGAGGGCTGGGCGTGGTGGCTCACGCCTGTAATCCCAGCACTTTGGGAGGCCGAGGCGGGCAGATCTCGAGGTCAGGAGATCGAGACCATCCTGGCTAACACGGTGAAACCCGTCTCTACTAAAGATACAAAAAAGTAGCCGGGTACGGTGGCAGGTGCCTGTAGTCCCAGCTACTCGGGAGGCTGAGGCAGGAGAATGGCATAAACCTGGGAGGTGGAGCTTGCAGTGAGCTGGGATCGTGCCACTGCACTCCAGCCTGGGCGACTGAGCAAGACTCAGTCTCAAAGAAAAAAAAAAAAAGAAGGAG